CAAAAATTGATTAAAACGCTTCACTGTCTCCTGTGCAATTATGTTCTTTCTACCTTTTATATTTTGAGTTAGTGAAAATAATCGAATAATCGATGAAAAAAAATGAAATTTAGTTCGATTATCTCGATTATAATTTTTAACGTATCGCCTTTTTATCTTACAGGTAAACGCGAGAGATAATATTTCCGTGAATATCTTTTAGTTCCTCATCTTTTCCAAGTTTAATTATATTGCAGCATTCAGTTTTCGCAAACTGGTTGCCCAATTTTTTTAAAGCGGCTGCTTTGAAGGCCATTTTCCAATTTCAAGCCAAATTCCGATATGGCAACTCTAAACAGAATAACCGACTTTGATGCCGATATTTTCCTCTTCTAGAATTGTATGATTAAAAGAAATAAATCAATTTTATGGTCTTTGTTGACTTAAAAGCAATTAAAATAATATTTTTATTGCGGCTGTTGGGGTGTCGTTTGGCGTAAATTCAAAAGGAAATTGCTCATTCACCTTTTCATCAAATATTTGTTGTCTTCATTCAATTTCATTTCATTTCATTCATTTTCGTAATTAAAACTTGATTTTTAGTTTGCGAATTAATTATAAAAATAACAGAACTTGTAACCCCAAATCGCAGACACGAAATCAGCCTTCTATGGTATGGTATGGCGGCCTCCTATGAATAAAGATTCATAAAATTTAATTTTGATAAACATAGATCTCGTTAAAAGTAATTTTAATGATCCCTTCAAAAGGATAATGTATCAGCTAATATAAAATATTTTCATAAGTTTTTCTGGGAGGCGCTTTATAATAATAGTAATAATAATTATTATTATTATAAGTATAAAAATAATAATAATATTAATTATATAAAAATAATAAAAAATGATCAAACGTTATTTATCCACGGTAACCTCTTCAGCATCAAATGATGATATCAATGAGGGCTTTAGGAAAATTATAGCTACTAGCCTAAATTACAGTAATGGAACTACAAATACATTTATAAGTCAAAATACAACAATAAAATATCATTTAAAAGCTAAAATACAACAAATAAAAATACTTTTAAAAACTAAACTGGTAAAAACCTAAAAAGAAACTAAAAAGCTTGTGATCAATAGAGTTCCAAAATACGACATTTAAAAATCACAACTGAGTTTAAATCCTTGAATTCCCTTGGAAATTTTTTTAAAGTTTTGATCATTAAAATAAAAAGACTTCCTTTCAATTTCAGTTCTAACTTGGGGGAGCAGTAAGTTCTGCCCACTTCCCCTCGTGTTTTGAATTGTTCTAAAAACCTAAAATAATCTTTAAAAAACATTGGAGGAGATCCCTTAAAGCATTTGAATGTTAAATCAATAGTGAGCATATCACGCCTCATATGCAAGGCAAGCCACTTCTTCTCGGCGTCTGAATCTGTGGTCCTCAAAACAATCTTTGTCGCCCTTCTCTGTGATCGGCCTAACTCATCACGTTTTTCTTTTTCCCAATGCTGCGCTCCATGCAACATCGCAATCACCCATCAGCCGATAAACCTTACTGGCTGCGTCAACAATTAGGTTGTTTCTAATTCTTCTGAGGACACCGATTCTTTTGGAAATCTGCTCAGTACATAGCTTATCAACTTGCTCTTTGAAATTAATATCTGCATCTAAACACCAAGATATAGACCTATTTGGCTAACTCAATGTCAGGTACCCAATTCAAACCCTTTGCGGATAAAACGTTTTGTTTCAGGAATTTCCATATCATTTAAATGTGAATGCCATATTATATAATGCAAATTCAGCACACAAAGAATCTTAACCCCGGGAGATTAGAATTGGGTAGAACATTGAGTTAGCCGAATAGGCCTATTTATAATGGTGTACTCGATTTATCGTCTTGTCCCCGAGGAATAAGCTAAATGGCCCATCTGACAAGTTAGCCAAAGACATTCGTTGTTGAGTGCCGAAAAGAACGTATTCTGTCTCCGAGGATAAATGCACAGCTTATTAAGTCCAAGACTGCAACTGTTTTAGGTCTTAATTCAGAACGGTAATTATTTTCCCGATGTTGGAGTAAGCATAGAAAAGGACAGCATTGTCCGCATAAAGTAGGATCTGTGGCTGAAGTTAACAGTTGGGCAAGTCATAGATGTAAATCGAAACAAAATGGGACCAAGTATGGACTCTTGAAGGACGCCAAACTTTCACTGCTGAGATGCAGACTGTGCGCTGCCATAGACAACAGATTGTCAGCGATTCGAAAGATAGTCCCCAAACCAACTCAGTTGTTTTTTTAATTTTTGGTAGCTACTGAGGCAAATAAAGGGCATACAATAGGACTAAATAGGCAAAGGGAGTAGCGGGCTTTTATGCGATTCCACAGTACGGAAGTCCTGATCCTCTTTGATGATGTTCTCACAGGCCATCATACTCGTACCACCCGACCTGTGGCAGGGGCACATTGCTGATTTAGAATGATTTCCATTGCCATAGGATTCCATAGGTCACTCCAAATAAGTTATAAGTAGTAAGTGACCCATTAGCTTTGATGGTGATATCATCAATATGAAGTTTTGAAGTAGGACAAAATGTTGCTAAGTAACGTTGAGATTTAATTGCCACAATAAATTCCCATTTTTTCAAAAAAAAAAATTAGTTATTTTCAGATTTGATATTTGCTTAATGGACGGAGTGACCACTTTTATTTTAGAGTACCCAGATCGTGTTAATTTTTATATATATGCTTCAATTTGTTACTTTAATTATATTTTTATTTCAGTTTTGGTAATGATATTTTTAAATATCTTACTTGACTTCCCTTAAAACCATTTTTTTTACCCTGTCACGTATGCAAACATTTTATTTTGTCTTTTCAGACCCCGCAAACAATATTTTTTTCAATATTTCTTATCCCCCCTCCAGAAAAATAATGGTCCGTCCCTTACCTAAATGTTAGAGGAGTTGTATTTCACGGCGCCTTCGAGGATCCTCGAAGCCACTGTTAAAATGGAGATGGGTCGGTAGTTATCAATACACTCCCGTATCCCCATCTTTATAAAGGGAAACCACCCTTGCATATTTCCACTCCTCCGACACAACTGCAGAAGCTCAGATACTCGGAGACGGGCTGGAATTCCGTCCTGTACCTTTCGATGTTTTAAGCAACCTAAGTCGACGATTTACAAACGCAGCTGATACCGGTTTCAAAGAGAGCAAAGATTGACTTGAAATATACAAACATGCTTCTGTGCTCAGTTGGTTCCAGTTCGGAGGTGGAATGTTAGAAAGCAATTTCTCCACAACATTTGTAAAATAGATGCAGAAACGACTGCAGAAACCTTAAGCAGAAACCGTTCGCAATAGTAAGGGCATGCGTGGTTGTTTTTCCATGTACTGTGATAGACCCAACTAGAGGCCGATGGTTGAGGTGTAACCGATTTGTTGGGATTGGGGGAAGGACTTTCTTCACACCTTTCCAAAAGTTCTTGGGATCATCTGAATTTTTTTTCTGCGATTCTACGATCGTAGCTGGATTTCGCTTTTCGAATCATTGTGGTAACCTGGTTTAATAATAATAAGTAATAGTAGAAGTCTCTATTGAAACCACTCAGACCACTCCAAGTAACAAATTTAGTTGGAGCAACAAACAAAAACTAGCTAACAAATTGACTCAAAGAAATAAGTATCTATTACAAAAATACCCTTAAAACGTTCCGTTTGACATGTGGCAGACTGATTTAGTTTAAGAATATAATCCTCCTCCGTAATGTGGCGGCAGCGGATCGCTCCGTTGGTAAGCTTGCCGTAGAAGATTATCCACCCCAGTGATTGAATCTTCATCTGTGAACCTGTCCCACAGTTTCTTGTCTTTCTGCGAAACGATAGCCTTATGGAAAAGGTTTTTCACACAGTTGCCAAGTTTAAAAGTTTTTTAAAATAGCTTATCCACACTACCTAGCTACTTATCAGGTCTAAATCTATACTTTGAGAACGTAAGTCAAAATATTTAAATTACAGAAGCTAGTGAAAAGAAGATAAAGTTGATTTTAATAAAGGTAGACTGTAGAACCTACAAACAACGGTAAGATAAACCTGATATACTAATGGCTGCTAGCTTTCGATATTATTCTACAATACGGACAAAAAAAGGGAAATAAACCGACCATTTCAATAATCAGTTTTCTACTCGGCGATCTTGTAAAACAGTGAATGAAGTAAACATTTATTATATTTTTAAGAATAATACTGTCGCTACTTAATTTTACACTGAAGATTTTACCAAGTTTAAGTGAAGTTGTATGTATGTACTATACGTTCAAGTGTCTTGAAAACTTCGTTTTCGGTTCAGGCAACTTTCTTTTCCATTCACTGACAAAAACATTAAAAATACAAAATGCATGTTAATACCCTGGGTACCAGAGGTTTTTCTCGCGTGCGGCGGGAATTTTCGGTGTTGGCCGAAGGCCGAAGCCGCGCGGGTCACTATGAAGACTTGACAGAAACCGGAAACCGCGCTAGAAAAGTCTCTGGAACCCAGGGTAGCATGTTAAGGAAGCGGCTTCTAAAAGTCCTCTTACCTTGCATCTGTACATACAGTTCAGTTAGTTTCAAAATTGCATGTATTTTTTAGACCGATCATTTCGAAAGAAAATGAGGCTTCATCAAAAGATTCAAAAACATATACTAACCACATAAATTTCATCAGTAATTGATATATATCTCATCGGCAGATTTAACACGCTTCAGTGAATGACGGAATTGTACGAGCTGAGGACTGTCAGGCCAATATTAGTGAGAGTTGACTTTTTAATCCTGAGAAAACGCCTCTGCTATGAATGCTGGAGAAGGAGTTGTCTTCGCCATACAACTTGGTAAAATTGCAGTCGACTCTGAAGTTCAATGATTAATCACCACGTCTTACCTACGAGTATCAGATTTGCTAATAAATAATATGAGAAAATAATATTGTCTTTATTTCATAGAATAAAAATACATATTCTCTTATTACAACAACTATTCAGAAAAGAGCCAATTATTACAAATATATGATGTCGAGGTTCCTCGTGAAATATACTCGTCCACAGACCATGGGCGATTTATTTCATTTTCGGTGACAGATCGTAAAAACGTCGTCCATTGCGCCTACGAATCTTTTGGGAAGGAACAAATGTCTAGTACAATACAACCCAGTAGTCTTCGCAACGCTTCGCTTATCCAACCACCGGACCAAAGGTAAAAAAACGCTAATACATTTTATTACCTGAAAACCTCTTGAATACGACCAAAATTTTCGTGGCTTTGGGTGGTCGTATGAAACAACTACGAGGATAAAAAGAACAGTAAGTCCGACAGCTAGCGCTCCGACCAGAATGGATCCCTCTTTCTCTACACAAGTGCTCAGGTCGGACGACATAACTCGATAGTTTTATTTTGTGGATAATTAAGACAAGGGTAAAGAAATTCCTAGAAAACAAATCATTTGATCACTACTCTAGAAAACAGTAACAAAAGAATGAACCATGAAAACAAGATGCTATTTATTTACAAACGATCAAGTTTCCCCAAACCTGAGTGTACGCAAAAAAGTCGTTTTCTAATAACTTAAAATCATACAGGGATACGTATGATAGAGAGATATTTACAGTAAAGCAAGTACTTTGTTCAAAAAGTCAACTTTAAACTTTACCCACAAAGGGATCAAGTTCACTTTAACTTTTAACAAACTGGAACATCGCAGCAAAATAAAACGAAGCGATAGATTTTCGAGAGTTGTATAGCTTTGTAGACGCAACACATCGATGTCACAAAAGAGAGCTTGAGTAGACATCTTCTGGAAACAAGTTTGGCGATTTTTCAGCCAGATACCTGCAACAAGTTAAACCAATAAATGAAAATTAAAATTCCTCATATAAGGGGCTCAACTAAAAATTAAATACGCGTCCCGCAAAACCCGGTGAAGCTCAGACGCTCGCTTTCATATTTCGATGCCCGCTCTGATTGCCTGTATTCTGCACGTGAATGAAGAGTACCTACTATCGACACACCTCAACAAGCCAAGTCACAGGCTAAAAAGTTCAGCTAGAGGTTTTTTGTGAAATGTTTCACTGCGTTGTTAATTACGTTTAATTGTATCGGACATGATTTTGCGGTTTGCTCCTACATCAAATTTACTTTCTTTACGTTTAACGACTAGCTACTTCCTAGATTTAAGTATGATGTCACTGAGATGCCTCTTTTCAAAAAACAAAAAGCAAACAAACAAAACTACCCGGCACGACATAATTGATCTTTGTACGTGTGCTTTTGTACCTTTCTTGTAAACTTTTGGTGTATAAGGCAAACTTCGGCAAAATCATGCAAAATGAATGAAGGTTAAACGAATTTCTGACCACCATAAAAAGCACTCAGAACATCTCTAGTAAATTTACGGGAAGTGATTGGGACATTTTATAGAATTCCGCAACGTGAACAAGACTTCCCAAACGAATCATTCCTTAGATTTACACAAGAAAAACAAACCATTTGTTATGCTGGGGCGTTTAAAAATGAATGTTGTGTTCGGAATGTCCCAAAATCACGAATTAATGGAAGTACCTACATTAAATTTGTACACTTGAATGGAACAAGACTGGCTACTTCCAACAGAAGATGGCTGTGACCATCCGAGTTAAGATGAGGCTTAAGTATGTTTCAAGGGGCTATTCGTGAAATCTTACTCGACCCTCAATAAACTCTTCGACTTCATTAATTGTGGTATAGTGATGTTTGTAACATACCTGAGAAATATGTTGATTTGTTCCAGAAGGACCGAGAGATTCTTTTCAGGCATATCTGTCCGTGCAAGCAGCCCAGGAAGTTTAACTAAACAAAACATTGAGCAGACAGTGAATTACGCCGCATTCATTGCTGCCCTCAGTAACATGCACATTATATTGCAAAAGAACTACTCATAATACCCGCCATGGATGAAAAATATAATCTGTTAAGTACCCGAACACGTACAGCTAGTTATGTTATGATATCTTACCAAATAGTCTTAACAAATGCTCAGGACCGTAAACTTGTGAAGGCATTATGTGTGTGGGATCGCTCAGCGATCTTGGGATTGGTGAAGTTGGAAACGCGTTGGATGGTAGGGGAGCTTCAGGGATATTTATCTCCACATCTTCAATCTCCACCGCTTTCTGTGAAGACAAAAAGTAAATATACACTTAATCAATTTATCAGTTAATTAAAGTAAAACTACGCAGGGAGGTGCGGATGGTCCTCATGTTTTAGTACCTTTGGAAAAGCCAGTGGTAGAGAAGAATATATTTGTGCATGTATTCACCATGAAGTCACGCTAGTTCCTACAGTAGTTCAGCCGGATAATAGCCTGTGAACAAGCTCTCTATTTGGGATTACGCGCGAGCGAGCGGCGGGCAGAGAAATGGGGGGCTTGCTCGCAGGTTAAACGGGCAATAGCGCTATCTAATGTTGCAAGTTCTTGGATGTTCCAAAGGAAAACAACCAAAAGGTTTTTTCGGTGAAGTCACAACTGACTAAGCGTAACACACAGTAACACGATATTTCGATACTAGTTGCGCGGAAAAATTGACGCAAAAAATCACTGAAATACATTTAACGGATAACTAGCAAGTCGGAAGGTATGAATATGTGTCCTGTACATAAGAAAAGCGTGCAAAAAAGGTTGTCTAGTGCGCACGAACCAGGTCGGGTCGTCTGAAATCGAAGTCGACCCGTCTGCCAGAAGTCAGATCGCAATTCTCAGGGAAAAGAGTGGTGATGACCTCAGTATCATTGGAGTGGTCCACAAGTATCTTTCAGTTACTCAGGTTATGGGAGACCACAAGATGGCGAGGAACGGTGGACCCTTACAAGATTTAAGAAGTGGCGTTGTTAGTCTTGTTGTCAGTAGTGTATCTCACCCGTTTTGCTGGGGGTGCATTGCTTTCTGGGATTGATGAGGTGGATGATACGGTTGCAGACTGGGAAGCCTCAGGGGAAGTTCCTGAATTTCTGGGTATACGGCGACGTAACGAACGTTCGTGCTTCGCTGAAACGTTAAAACAGTAAATTCGCCGTTATAACAGTTCAAATAGACTTACACATACTGATCATGAATGATGGAATATGATAAACTGGTATGTGTTACAGGATGGCAGCCATTAGCAGGGGTTTCAATAAGTTTTTGCATAAGTGGGTACTTAAGAGTAACAGGATGGCATATTTGCCATTCGACCCTAGGGGGTCATGCTCCCCGGAAAATTTTGATTCTAGACTCTCGCAGAATTTTCAGGTCTTTTTTTGTTGCTTTGTTTTACATTTTTTTGCTCCTAAGTCAAAATTTAAACAAATTTGAAGAGAATTATGTTACAATGAAGTAGTCATAGTCAAAACCTATTTTGCCAAATTTTTGGGCAAGAATTCGGAGCTGAGATGAAATTATCTGGTCTTAGTTGACGTTCATGTGAAGGCTCCAAGCGGGTAATCAGCCCGTTGCAAGCGGGTAGATCTACCCGCTACCCGGCTACTATTGAAACCCCTGCATTAGCAATTACTGAATCAGGCTGAGTGTGCTATAAAGGATTATGAAGAATAATGGAGATTGAGGAGGGTGTCATTGGCTGAAGCCGGAAGCTGATGCGAATAGCACCCTCTGAGATCTGTATAATTCTTCGATTATAAGAAAGCCGAATTCACTTGTTAAAAACGTTGTTTCATTATTGTTTGAAAATGTTTCCGAGTTCACAGCATCCTAACCAAAGCCTGTTTAGCCGGGATTACTTCAAAACATACACCAGTCCATTAAAAATAGTTTGACGTGGATACAGTACAACCTCTCTATTTACCGTTACAGTCACCTCTCTATTTAATTACCGACCCTTGACATAGTCCTACAGATCCCAATCTTACGGACACCTCTGTAATGAGGGACACATGGATTTCCCCCTTCCGTGTCTATATTAAGAACAGGGTCTATAGTAAGAAGGTTTGACAACATGAGCCTAAACCCGCAGAGGTGCAAGAAAATGACCATTTGTACTCTCCGAACTCGATCTGAACATAACCTGAACTTATGATTAACCCTTAAGTCCCAAGAGGTCAGTACCAACATAAATCTTCTTCTAACAATATCCATAAATCATCAAGAAAAAAGGTTAGGAGAATTGATAAAATGATCACCAAGGGGAAAATGCTTTCATCTCTTAACAAATTCTTTCAACTAATACTTAAGGAAATATATGGAGATCAGTTTGGAGAATTTGTATGTGGATATTGGTGCTTAAAGGGCTAATTACAATATAGCTACCTTCTTTTGTTTCAGTTGTATTTGTCAGTGCCTTTGAAAACTCGACCTGCCTGACTGGAGAGCTCTCCGTTGATGAGCTGACAACTCCATATTTATCCTCTAATGTTGTTTTACCATTGATTTCATCATTATGATGTGTTTCTTTAGTTAATTCTGCTGGATGAGGCACAAGCTTCATCACTGTCTGATATTGCTCACGTTCAAAGTTATACAACAGCAATGTTGGAAGAGTAAAATCAAAGTAGATTCGAAGCCCATCCATAACTTCTTTGATCAAGTTGGAGCTGTAATAAAACAAGAATTAAATAAAATAGTGTCAGTAGTACAAATGAAGGATAAGTGGTATGCATGCACATGATCTGGAGCTTGATGGATGAAGGGATGATCCCAGCTGCTACTTCCTTTCATAAGATAGGGGCGTGAATACCACTCAAATACAACATTATTTTACAGAAGTGCTATGGCCATCTTTAAATAGGACATTCTTGTTACTTGGAGCGAAACAGCGACTAACTTACTGGTGTTCTACTGGAGAAATATCTGAACATGCTAAAAAATATATAAAAAAATAAATGTATTTTGTTTACCAAAACTTCAGGTATTTATCTGAAACGCTTGGGAACAAGCAAATGACTGACTAAGCAGAATCCCAACCGGCAAGAGGCAAATCTTGACCAGTTGGCTATTTACAAGCATAGCAAAATTATTAAGCTAAGAAATAAAATCCGCAGCCAGCAGTCAGGGTAGGAGTTGACCTCCAGATCATAAGGTTGCAAGTCCAGTGTGAAATTCAGGGACACCCAACGAGAATATAGTTCAAAACCAGTTAAACATAGCATTGTTTAACGTATTTTAGTATTAAAACGGTAGATATAGGCATATTTTTAACCCCTAAAAATGTTTCATCTGTTCAGTTTTCCTAGCTAAAAGTCTAGTGATCCGAAAATTATAGGGATCAAAACTTACTTTTTCGAAAATTTCAGCCAGAAAAAGGGCTCCCGAAAAATCTAGGTGACCTTTTTAGGCTAAAAATCCGATAAAAATGGGCAATTATACCATTTTTTAGATGTTCGAAAATCCTAGGAGAGGCAGGCAAGCAAGAAATTTTACAACAAATGTTTCAAAAATTCTAGATCTCAAATCGTCTTCCAAACAGATATTTTCCAAAAATTGACGTTGGGTGCCCCTGTAAATTGACAGTTCAACAATGCTACTGCCATTACATCATAAAAATATGTTTAAGTGATATGACACACCCCAACCTACTGTAGCTACAATACCAGTCTTAAGTACCAATTCAATAAGTACTGAGGGGTACAACAATGTTTTATTGTAAGGCCTAATTAGCATAATACAGGTTCCTAAAAGAAAGATAGGGATAACCATGCACTTATTGTCATACTGTGATTTTTAAAAATTAACATTTCCTGGAGCTTTTTAAAAGCTGTTTTACATGCAGGTGCTTAATTATTACTTGAAAAAGCAAAAAAATGTTTACATATTATGTGTAAAATTATGGGGGGGGGAGAGTATACAGTACACAAAAGAGTTGTATGTTGTATTTTCTAAATAAAATAATTAGGGTAGGTGACAATAATAAAAACAAATAAAACGAAACATATGCCAAGCAGTTATGAACCTCCAACCCTCACTAAGTGTCAAAAAATATTAATTTTTTTAGTAATCAGAGATTAACGAGTGTGTTCGAATTTTCTTAACCCCAGGTTAGCTTTACCTTCAAGCTTTTTTCCAAAATAGGATAAAGATCATAAAAGGTTTTGTAAATCAATTAAAATTCTTCCTATGCTCTACAGATCAATGGCTTTATTTTTAACATGTCTTACTCACCCTCAAGTAGGGTCAATAAAAATTAGAAGTACTAATCGTAAACAAAAATAGACACGCCACTACAAACTTTCAAAAGCATGGTAACCTCACAAGAGGCAATCCCTGGCTTTGTGCGTGACACAACAACAACTTTTAAACATGAACATAGAAGTGAAAGAAACATATCAGGTTTTTGCCAGATTACAGATGTCAGCAAACCGAACATCACTAAAAAAGAACAAAATCTTTCACTTTTATGCAAACTGTTCATCTTCAACCAGTCCTGGTCAGTTCATTGTGTCTTAAATGTATTTTGCTTCCGAGGGAAGATGGTCTTATCAACAAAATCCTGCATGGATATATCAGACATGGAAATAAAGGCATTACTGATACACGGGTAAAATTCTTCAAATGTACTCTATTCCAGAATGATTTTCGTGCAGACCCAATTGCACAGGTAAATTCCTCATTAGAGAGCACAGACAGCAAAAATGTTACCTAGTGTTTATTTGTTTTTTCCAAGTTTCAGCTTGTATTGACCAGTATAACAACTCTTGATCTAACAATGCTGTCTGTAACACCGACAAAGGTGTAGCAGAATCACCAGCTCAGCAATAAAACCCCCTTTGAGAACAACTCCAAGTTTCATTCATTTGCTGAACTCAGCCATGCTTTTAACTTGACCTTATTGTCAACCTTGATGGAGCCAGCAGGGTGATGCATGTGCCGATATTAAGTACCGGTAATTCAAAATGGTGCTGAAAATGCAGATGTACTACGAAAAGAACTTGCTGAAAAGGTCACCCTGAGTACCACTCGATAACCAAGTAACACAGGAATCCCAAGATTAAGAATTGTGTTCTCCTAATGTTGAACGCAATTATTACTGTTTTAGCCACTGGTACACTTTCACAGGGTGCCACTTTCAGTAATCTCAAATTTATTCCCCCAAAAGTAAAAAATGGTCATTCACATACTAGTTATTTGGTTGGATCTTGCTTTAATCAAATGAAACAAACACAGGACAACACTCACCTTTGACCTGGATAAAAGTCCTTACAATGTTGAAAGTATTCACTTAAAAGTTGAGCAACATTTGGAGTTCTAGGAAGTTGTACAAGCTGAAAATAAAATCATGTCTACGTAAGTTTAGTCATAATGCTACACTTATTCATATACTTACTTATACCTAAAAAGTGATCATGGTCCCTAGAACAGAATAATTGCCTACACTGTTCCATTGAGTTGCAGGATACTGAAAATGGATTGTACCTCAAAAATTATACAAGCATTAACAATATCTGAATAGCTAATTAAGACTTTGAATAATGAATGAATAAATATATTACGTATACACCCAGAAATATCAAAATCAGGGATGAAAATCTCATGGACAATAATTGTCACTTCAGTTCTTTACAAGTGCTATACCTTTTTTTTTCTTTTAATAAAGTAACAATCATCTTCAAGTTTAAGCTTCAGCTGGCTGGGAATTTCAATCTCAATTTTGGGTAGCTCTGGGCTTTCCACCTGCAAGAACAGTGCACCACAGATAATAGCTACAGCTAGTATCAAAGATCAACTTTGTGTACAAATCACAAAAAATGCTCTTAAAATGATACACACCACTTACCACTTCTGAGACAGACTTGCTGTCAGGTTTGTTTACATCTGAATCTTTGCTTTCTGAGCCTTGTGTTACCCTTCTTTTCTTTTTTCTTGAGCTGTTGGTGAAGTAATAATAAAAAAGATTTGAATTCACACTAATACAGTGAACCACAGTATAAACTCAAACTCCCCACTAACTTGAACAAAGTCCCATTTCCCATGGATTTCACCCCACTTTCCAGCCATTTTTACAAGGTTAACATGAACTAGGATAACTTGAATTACCTGCTAACTCGAACTAAATTTCCTTTCCCTTGGTCAGAAATTCACTGAAATTTACCCAAGGTGATAACTCGAATTCTGGTCCTTGATCAGATGTCATTCCATCAGCTCTTCTTGTTGTATAGTCGATAAACACACTAAAACTAACACTACAGCAATTTGATTTTCATTGGTTCAATGAACAGATCACGTTTT